TGTCCAGGTGAATTTTTGGTTTTTAACTTTTGTATTAAGTTTTTTATTTCGTTGGGAGATGTGTGTTTGGTAGGGAGTGACATTGATAGCGGGCTAGTTAGGAAGTTTATAATTTGCTTTAAGTGACTTGGTTCAGGAGTTATATCGTGATGAGGAGTAAATATTTCGGATAGGTGTTTACCAAAAGTGTTGGCTTTGTCAATGTCCGAGAAGGCTAAAGTGCCGTCTGCTTTTTTTTAATGGAAAGGTTGATCTTTTATTTTTAAAATATTTTTGGTGGTTCTCCATAAGGATCCATCTTTAGAACATAAGGATTCGTATTTGTGTTTGAATAACTCAGATTTGTGGATCCAAATTTTTTTTTTTATGGTATTGGACAGGTATTTGTATCTTTTTTTGTCGGATGGCAGTCTAGAGTGTTGCCAGCGTGAGCGTGCACGACGCTTTTCGATAATTAGGGTTTTTATGTTGAGAGGTATATCGTATTGATTTGAATTTGGTAGTTTGTTTGGATTAGGAGTATAGGATGAGTCAGAGATCGCTGCTTTTATTGAGTTGACAAAGTCTTRGGACGCTATTTCAATTTCACTGCTGGTTTTTAGAGAGATTTTTAAGTTTGTGTTATTTTCTAAGATAGTGGAGAATTTTTCCCAATTGACAGGACCTTTTGCGAGGGTGAATCGGGGAGGTTTGCAGGTTATTGAACCATTTATTTCAAGAATGACGGGGGTATGATCTGATGAAATTTCACAACTATTTTGAATTTTATGTCTTATGTGTTTTGGAATTGAGGTGAGAAAGAAGTTTAGAATGTCAGGCTGGCGATTTATGTGAGTAGGCCAGTAGGTTGGACCGTTTGGAGATATAAAAGAGCAGCCTAGTTTTTGAATGATGTCAAGAAATAATCTCCCTCTAGAGTTTGTCAATCTGCTACCCCATTGTGTGTTCTTAGCGTTGAAATCGCCACCGGCGATAAAAATGTGATTTTATGTTGTGGTGATTATGATTATTATTATTATTTGTCTACATTGTCCGCGTTGTCGCCGTGGTCAGCATGCATCGACACACCGATTCCAGCCGACCACTAAGATAACGAATTATGTATTATTACTCTTTTTTTTTTTGCTCTAAAAGTTGTCGTACTTGTTTTGCACAGTGGCATGCACACAACGCACTCTCGCTCGTCGCGTTTCAGTGTGCGTTGTTACAGTAGTTAGTTATGAGTTATGACTTATTATAATGAAATATGATTATTCTCTCGGCATTACCGTCCTATTATTTCTTTTTATTATTTTATTTATATTTTAATGTATGCGCCCTACAGTTTTCAGAAGTGGGATACGTATAAAATGAGTGAATGTTGAACTAATGCCGTTGTTAACACGGAATGCGAGTAAACGTTGTGCAATTGTTAATGAATGTATCAGAATGAACGAAATGAATAAAGAAAATAAATCGAACGAATCGAATAAACTGAATGCACCGAAAGTTATTAATTTAATGGAAGAAAACGATCAAACGGAAAAAATGAACGAAAACAACGGATCAAAGACATCGTCGACAGCAACGCCAGACCCGCCCGTGAGTTCGGTGGATACGAACACGTTGGTCGAGACAYTCGTAAAACAAAACAGTATGTTAATGGAATTATTGAAACTTCAACAAAACAGTAATAAATATTATTAATAATAATATTATTAATTATATTGTAAGTATTATTTTGTAACACAATAATTTATTGTTCAGTATATATTGTATATACGCAATGCAATAAAATTATTTCCACTGAAAGAATGAAAAAAAAAAAATATTGTTCACGTCAAATATTGAAATACTGGTATTTATAGAAGGTATCCACATCATAGATGTTAATAATATTGTTAACGTGTATAATGTATATTGTTGTCGTAATAAATAAGTACCTAGTAAAATTCTTATTAGGTAGCTTTTTAATTGATAAACATTTTTGGTATAGTCAAATATTAAATTTCAATTGATACATTATTATATAAGATATTTAAAAGTTATAAGATTAGTCTTAACATATTTTCAATAGAAACCYGAAATAAGAGCTAATTTAATTGCCTGTCTACCATGTCAACATTTAATTTAAATAATTATAATCCAAATTCCAGAAAATTATTTGAATATTTTTTTATTTGATTAATTTTTAAATAAAATTAATCAATTTATTATTTTAAAATAAATGATTGGAATTTTTATTCGAACAATTACCAGAAAAAAATAACACGTAATCAAACAAAATTGTATTTAGAATACTTAGATTATTATTTAGATTAAAAGCTTACTCGAATAATGCCCTACTTTGATAGGTATGTTTTATCCATCCAGTATTATAACCTGTAACGAGAGCGAACATTTTATAACACGGTTTTTGAACTTAGTTGTATACTCGTATGCAGGACGTACTATGTAGTATATGCACTAATAAACAAATTTAATTTTCGGGAACTATTATCATTAGTAAAATCAGCTAGTATGGAACATTGCTAGGATTGAGGGGGGGGGGCGCAGGGAAACAGAGCTCCTCTTAATTTTTTTATATTTTTATTAGAGCACCGTTTCTAATTATTTCATTGCAAGAAACGCYATTTTAATTCTGGGAGTCCCCTTTGTTTTATTTTTCTAATTCAAGCATTGTTTTATAATGGTATATGGACATGGACTGCTGTATTACAAAATATGCATAAAAAATCAAGCCAACATTCTAAGCAGGAGCCTAGAAAAATAGACTATATAGATTTAGGCAGAGACTTGAGAGTGATGGAATGACTTTAATTCTCATGTTGGATATATATTTATATTATAATATTATCAACAACGATGTAACATTATTATTTAACATTATTTTCATACATCAATGATAAACTTTGCAGTTCCAAATCGTAAATCTGTAATGATTTGTAGGGAATATAAACGTGGACACGCGAATATACCACAAGTATGCACATAATATCATTTATGATTTATCATTCTAACTATCGATGAGTACGTTTAAAGTATAAATAAATAAATAAAAGTAATAAATAATTAATTTATATGTATCACAAAATTGAAACACCTTAACACTACATAAAAAATATTATATGTACACTAAAGTTTATGTACAACATATATATTATATTGATGATACCTATGAGTTATATTTGATAAACATTTAAAAACAAAAATAATATTACAAACCTATGGCTTCTATATAATAAGATATATATAGATCAAAACAGCTGTATATTATACGCGGCAGTGTAAGGCAAAAAAAATATATTTAAATTAATGTGCGACTAAGTGACGACTGACATTTTAAAATTCAATAAAATGGTAAGTAATGTTCATCAAATTTGTGGCTCCACTTATATAATAATATAATAATAATTTTAAAATATATTTCATGATTAATAAAAACAAAGCTAAACGAAATATATCACGGTTGATAATATTATTGTGTACGTATTAATTCTGGAAATAGAACGGGGAAGTGAGTATTGATCTCACTAAATCCGATTAAAGTTGTTTTCATATTGTAATCACTAATTATATTTATCAATTACTATAAGTTACAAAGTTATTATGTAATCGTCTCAATACTTTAGTCGACTGACAAATAATTCAAAACAAATGTTGGTAGGTTTACTTATGTTTATCGACATTTATTGGTTTTCAATTTTTGATATATTGATGAGCGGCATAATCTTTCAGATGACCCCTCGATCTTCAATAAACACTAAAGTGGTTTTTTTTTTTGCCCAACACTATAGATGATGCGCAATGACAAATAAAATATTATCGAAGAAGAGAGAGAAAAAGAGTGAGAGAATAAAAATAAAACACGGATACGTTATAACAATACAGTAATATCGGGTAAAGAAAAGTAAAAGTTAAGAGTTTAACGGATTTTGGAACCACGTGTCGAGGTCATTATTGTTTCCGTTGTTGCCGGAACCATCGTCTCCTTCGATGCGAGGACTGCGGGAAGTGATCCTTAGATCGTTGGGCAGATCGTAGCAACGGCACACACAGCACGACGGGAACCTAAACCAGTCAGAGAATATTCCACGGCAATCGTTGGACGGATCGTAGGCGAGCAGCCTGTGCAAGCGGTACTGCTGTTCACACCGACAGCCCTGGCGGCAGAACATCTGTTTGTTCTCGAATCTGCGCAACATAATATCATATCGGTATACATGCACGCACAAATTATTTAGTGTTAGTATGGTACATTAAATTTATAATTTAATTTTAATAAATGAATCAAAATTTATGTTTTTTTTAATGAGGAATTAAGTGTTACCTACTTCTCTCTACAATAAAATAACACAATATACCAGTTAAATATAAAAAAGGTACTGTGCTACTTCCATAACCACTTACATTTTTTTATTTATAGAGCATATTTCAATATTCGAAATTTRGAATATAAATATAATATWATAGACGGTACCTCGGTTTATATCAATATAAACTGCTTATAAATAAGTTATAGAGCCCGGAATTATATTCTTTAAAAATAGCAAAAATAAGATGCTAATATTCTCTTAAAAAGTTGAAAATATTTCTCCAATATTCTTTAAAAACCATAATAAAATATGCCAAAAATATGATTTTTGCTTGGAGCTAGCTATTTTTGTGTAGTAATTCCATTTTTTGTCGGGCATTGTTATCTTAGATAGCCACATATTTTATATTATACTACAGTGGATTGCAGCACATTATTACGTAGGATATATAACGATATTAACATTCGTATATACGATGGACGATGGTATATAAATATATAGGTAGTATAACAAGTATATTTTTAATATCATATCATTATCTCTATATTATCGGACATAATATAATTTATATTATTTACGTCACTGCAACAAAAAATATCGAACATCTATACAAATTAATCGATATATTCTCTAATATTCTTTATTATACGAAATATTCTTTTATCTTAAAATATTCTCAAATATGCAAAAAAACTTTTGCCATTATTACACCGGTTTCATGATTCGTAAAGATTTCGAACCCCCGTCTGACTGCATAGACTCATAAAAAATATGCAAAAGAATATAATTCCGAGCTCTATAAATAACTAATAGGCTCTATAAATAAAAAAATATTAGTTCAACGTTCGATTATGTCCTTTAAAAGGGTAGTCACAGCCTATCATAAAATAATTTCAGACATTTCAGTACATAAATTTCATATTTTTTTAAATTTAGTATTTGATTTTTTACCCTTAAATACTAGCTTCAATAATTACATTGTCGGTTTTGATAAACACTACGATTGATCGAGGCAATGATATAGACGTGTTTAGTATCCCCAGTTTCTCCACAGTGGTTGAAACACYCRGTGTATGGTAATATTATATAATTTTGATTATTAACTAYTCAATACTCACGTGCATCGCTCCCAGTGGACGTACTGCTCGAACGGATAGAGATTGAGGAGCGCTAGCACTTCGCCACGAGTGTTGTTCGCCCAAAACGGCGCGACCACTTCTTCCTTTACCGGGCAAGCATTACTACAAGAAACAAAAATACGTGGTTCCACATAATCGAAAAAGAGATAGGTATTATAATATAATATATTACTATTATTATTGTCATAATAATGTCATATTATTAAAGTGTTCTCAGCTTTTTTAAAAAGGTAGGATATGAATTTTTGATTATATTTCCAGACCATGTTATATATACATTTATTGCTTTACCATATATTTTATACGACAAAACATAAAAATAACCCAAGGAATATGACACATTCATCCCCACGCCATTGGTCGAGTTATGTAAATGACTACAGTAATGAGCTCTGATATGTATAGGTACTTGAAATATCTCCGATAAATTTTTTCTTCCCAAGGCACATCGCAATGATAATACATACACCATACACGATAGTAAGATACTATCACAACARTATATTTGCTAATAAACCTGCTAAATTTAATTTTCTAGCCAAATTAACTCGTTTACTTTAAAAAGAAGTTTTTTTTTAAAGTTTAAAGGAAGGTTGAAATTCTGAGTGAAAATGAGTGGGGGGGAGTTGGGGGGAAGGTACCTATTAAAATTATTGATCTAAAATATAAGGCCAAAACATAATAAATACTATAATATAGTTTCAGCTTCAAGTCTTCAAAAAGTATAAATATAACGAATGACGAAATGAGAATATACTTATAACATTATAAAATGACCTGTGTCGCATATTATATATATAGGCGTAAATTAGGGGAACCTCCTAAATACTTCTGAAGCCCCCAAAGTATATTTCCAAACTTTACCTCGTAAACATCATAAATTATGTTAATACGTGTAATTTATATTTCTAGCTCTCCAGTAGATTTTTAACCATATTTACGCCTAGTGTACATATACGTATATATATATCGCTACAAATTTATTTTTCGCATCATAATATTTTCTTTTCTTATTGTACAAGTACAGGGTACTCACATGCCTTTTGATTTCTGAGTGTTATCCGTTTCGCCATCAGTCGACTCCTGGAAGAATCCCGGTTGCTCCTGTACCTGGTCGGTACGCTGGGTCGACGCTATCGGGTCGGTGGTGGTTTCGAACTGCAACTGGTCGTCCACTGTAACATCGTCCACGGTGCCGTCTTCCACGTCTTCCGTCGCGGTGGTCGTCGTGGGTGGTACGACGTCGGCCACAGGCGTGACGGTGATGTTGGATGGTCGAACGGTGGACGTCGTGGACGTGGTAGTGGTAGTGGTCGCGGTAGTCGCAGTTGCCGATGTCGACGTGGTGGGGCTAGTAGCGTTACTAGCTGTAGCGGTGCCAGCTGAGGTCCCTGAAGTTGGTGGTGGCGGTGACGGTTGCAAGTTGTAGCGGTTCAACGACGATTCCTCCCGGCGCCGGTTCCAGACGCCACCTTCGATGTCATTGGTGTCCATGTCGGCGCGCAACACCGATATGTGTCGCTGTTCGCCGTACATGCGTTTCATCAAACCATGATTCTCGAAAACAAATCGTCGGACAGCGTGCCTACACATGGACGTACATAATTCAATCACTATAATATATTATAACGGCAGTGCAATGACGACGCGCAGATTGCAAATCGTAATATCAGGTGTAAACCAAATATTATCATAATATGATGTTTATTTTAGCCACAATTTCTATGTTATGCAAATCTTAAAGTTAAAAAAGCGGGTAAATGGATGTCGCTCTGCTGTACAGTAGTTTACAAGTAGGTTACTGTAATGAATGGTATATTACATTTTGTAAAAATACCCGTTTTTTCTTAATTTTTTTTGTTTTACCCGATGCTTTTGAAAAATACTTGGAATTTCAAAATGTGCACCTACATGCATCAACTAGATTCACTTTCTAACTGGAAAAGCTACTGAAGTTGAAAATCGAAGCTTATTATTTCGACAACTTATCGTGTATACACGGACACAATTTTAGAGATCAATTTGCATTAAAAACTTTATACCAGTCTATTGTTCGTTCTCATTTTGATTATGAATTACTTATTTGACATCCATATTTAAAAAGGCGGGTAAGTCGTTGATGTCGCTCTGCTGTCAGTAGGTTACAATAAGTGATTTACTGTAATGGATGGAATTAAATTTGAATCCAATGATATTATATCATTGTATACGAAAAACGATTCTGAGCGAAGATGGTTTATCTGTCTAGGATATATTATAGATTATTAAAAATTTTCAAACCTTAGATTTAAAAAGAACATTTTTTATGAATTTCTAGTTTGAAATAGTTTGCGAATTTTCGTGATTTTTACATATGTTATCAAAATTCAAACTTTGAATGCTTATAAAAAAAA